ATGCTGTCTGCAGGCTGTGACCAGTAGAATGAGGTTGTCCTTTGCAGGCAGTCTCATTAATCTGGACCAAATTCAAACATACTGTAAACTGTTTAAATTTGCAGATAGTCAACAGAATACTCTTTAATAATAATAATTTTATCTAGGAGGGAATGAATAGATATTCATATGAATTGAGGGTTCAACCCAACACGCTTTCTCATATGCATTCAATCTGAGCATGGGCTTCTAGGCCATTGCTCTTGAATTAGAAATTCAAATAAGGGTAATTTTAACTTGTTCTGATTTGTGCTTAGTTTTAAAGAAATGAAAGTGCTTTTTGCTTAAGCACTACATGTATTGTGGTGTGGAGATAGTGAAATAACGGGATCGAGAATAATCTTTTAAGTGACAGTAACGTAAGGAAGAATATATGCTGTTAAAGGGGCGTCCTTTTGTCCTTCAGTCTCTTCAGACAGAAATCAGAGATGGCTGCTTAGTTTCTCTATGAAAATAAGAATTTCCAGTACAGAATTTTAAAATTTATTTTACACTAGTACCATGTGTGTGGTATATTCTATTGTGTAGTTATGAAAACTGCATTCTGACTCCTTTCTTTGTCACTGTAATATGTTTTGTCATTAATAGAGGAACTGTTTCTGTTTAAGTAGTATGTATATTTATATATCTTGAATGTAGAGAACAGCATGACTTGCCTTTTGCCCATTTTCATTCTTTGAATTTTTTCTTAGGAAGCAAAACATAAGTACACAATAGCTTGGTATGCAAAGGGAAGCATACTAGCAAAGTGGAAGGAAGGACATTCAGAAACATGCCTTCCTTTAGTAGAAAGCCATTCTTCCCAGTATTGTGTTAGTCAGCCTTCCTCTGAACAAAGCAGCTTCCATAGTATCTGTAATTCCTGCGTGTAAATCCTAACTTCTCAGAATATTCTTTAAAATATTCCTTTTAAACATATCTGTTATATTGTGACATTTAATGTCCTCTGTGGTCATGTGGGAAGCCTGTGATAGTGAGTATTGTGTGAACTAGACCACTTGATTCCCAGTCTTCCTTTTGTCCCCTGTTACATTGAACTGGCTTGCTTTATTTTGCCAGCACACCATTCCTGATTATGAACATCATCGTGTCAGCAACTGTTATTACAATTCAACATACTCAGTACCTATTTTTCTTTAAGGTCACTAAAAGGAAATACTTAAAAGGCACTGGCTTGCTTGAAGTATTTGGATCTTAAAATTTTTCCCATAGTCTGTTATTACATGCCAAGTCAGTCTCAGCTTCTGAGTACGCAGCATTCCCACATCCTCCTGCAGTTTTCCAGCTGAAGTCCATATTTTGCCAAAGTATTACTTCACTCATCATCCAGAAAGGGTTATTCCTCAGCTCCTGCTTTCCTGTTCTGGTCTAGCTTATATACAATGAGGCCCTAGGAAGTAACAAGTCTACATTCCTTTTCTTCTCTCCCTCCTTATGGATCCTAATGTGTGTAAATCCATTGCAAGCCATTTAAATGATAGGCCTAGATGGCTATCTATGTGAATGAAGAAATTACACATAATGTATAGATTGCTGTCAGTTCTGCAAGTGTTAAAAACTTAACTTTTTCTGCATTTAGTCAGTTAAATTTGCGTTAATTGAATTCCTGTCTTATTATAGTCCTTCTATCAGCTGGGTCAAGAACTTTGCTTTTTCTGTGATGGAGTTAGCTTATATTGAATTTGAGAAGTAACTTCTAAATGCTCCTTATAATAGATTTGAGAGACACTGAGGACAAGCAGTCAAATTCTTGATTAGCTGTTGTGCTAGAGAAGAATAGCAATGAGCCAAAACTATGGACGTCTTCCCAGGCAAGAACTTAGTGTTATTCCAAGGAGCTTTTTTTAAAGCCATTTTCCCTGGTAGTAATAAGTAAAGCAACTTTGAAGCAGACAGAATACCCCTCTTAAAGTGAAATATGATGCTCCAGAGTGGTGGGAAAAGAAAATACTATTTCTGGTTCAAGTCACAAGTAACAGATCATGGCCGTTAAAGCCCTTTGTCTGTAGAATGAATTGGTATTGACTGCCTGGTTTGTCTTGCGGGTCATTAGCTTGTCAGTTAATTGGAAAGCTTGTGAGTGGCTTCTCCATGATGATGTTTTGTGGTAGAAGAAAACAGCTCTGGAATAAACTTAGTTAAAACTGGTCATAGTTGGTAGCTATGGCTGGTTCGTACATAGTTTTGATTGCTGCGTGTGACTCGTATGGCGGACTAATCTCTAAAAGGTATAATGGATTTCTACAGTACCACTCTGAAGGCTCACAAGGATTTGAAACAGGATGCTACGGTGAAATTCATGCCATAAATAATACAAATACACTTGTAAGAGTCTGCATGACGCTGTAGCTGTAACAAAAGACTTCTTTAGATTCGAGTCTGTGGTTAAGGTGGCTATTGCTAGCTTGAGTCAAAAAGATGATTTACTAATTATATTCTTTATTGGTGTGTCTCAGATTCTCTTAAAACTATAGTTCTGCTGTCATTGAAATGACAGTGTGAGATTCCTTATTTATTTTTTGGTGACTTGATAGATGCTCATAAAGAGGAAATCTGGGTATAAAGTGGGAAAATATAGAGTATATTTTCCCACTCAGCACCTGGACCTGAAAGTCTGCATGGGCTTGTGCATCCTTGTTAGCAATACAGTCTCTACAACTGGGTCTTAGTTTGTAATGCTGTTTTGGATCAATGGTTTGAAAATAAATTAAAAATTGATCTTTCTTCCTGTTAGCTGTTTGAGTTCTGCAGAGAGGTGAAACACGTGAACCTGGGGGCTTTCTGTGAAGAAAGTAAACAGATAAGAGAAAAGCACATGGAAGAGATTTGTTAAATAGAGGTGCCATCTTTATACTGTTGTTCTTCTGGCTATAACTGCACTTTACGTTTTATTATGGCCTGGGTCTTTAGAGTTGAATTTTATAAGGCAGTTTCAGAACAACTGGGTCGGTCACCCATTATTCATTCAATTACACACCGCAGCCTTGCTGCTCCCCATTGACATCTGTACACAAAGCCCAGCTCTTTTTTACATAACCTGACCAACTCAGATGCTGATTCTGGGAGATGCTGAAAGTCACTGGGAGCTCCAAAGCCTGAGAAAAGAAATGGCTAAATAGTTCATTCCCTCTGGCATGCCCAGAGGCAGGCAGGAAGCCAATAATGGCATCATTGCACATGTAATATTTTGTGTTTTGCCTGTGTACTGCTGTAGAAAAGGGAGAAATTGGACACTGCTATGTGGGAAATGTTGTTAAACCACTTTTATGTAGCTAGCCAGCTGTATTTTTTTGTTGCCTTACCCAGGCATTGGCTTACGCTGTCATGAGCTATTTCTGAGGGGACTGCCTTATCTGGAGCTGGAGGGACCCCCGCGTGCTGTGTTGGTGATGAGGTGACTGGCCTTGCTGGGCCGTAGATTGAAAAGGTACGCGCTCCATGAAGCAGGGCATTAGAGAAAGCAATGCAAATAGCTGTCTCATTAATGCAATTAAATGATGCATGGGACAGCTGAATTCTGCCTCTGAGGCTGTCTCACTCCTGTGTGCAGCTGGGCAAGATGGTCCAGCCAGCCTTTCTGTAGGTGGTCAGTCACTGAGTGCAGGTCCAACTTTGTGTGCTGTGGGGTTCAGACTTACATAAATGCTGACTCTTGAAACGGGACTAAGTGCTGCACTTGGAAAATATGAAGGAGCAAGTTCTCAAAAGAAAACTGAAATGCACAGAGGTAGGCAACAGGGACTGTGTGCAGGTCGTAATGGGCACTCAGTCTTAACGTGCTTTCTGAATAACAGTGACTTGAGTCTCTTCCACCTGTAAAATGAATACAGTGCTGCCTTATCTTGCAAGAGTATCATTGAAATAAATCCGTTGATGTTTCTGAGATGATTGGATACTTCAGTGCTGAACACTAAAGAAAAGCTCAGAAATAAATTAATAGTTCTTTATTTGGAAAGAACATCAGTGGTAGGTTGTGAAAGAAGTACAATTTTTACAACGCAGCTAAAAGGAAGAATTGAAATGCTGCTGGTGGGGAGTGCTGACTGTTGTGTACACTGAATTGAAGCTATTTTCTTTTCTTATGGAAAGGAAAATAGCTTGTGATAAAGTAATTGAATACTGTATAAAAGTGTATGCCTGTGAAGTAGGAGGGAGGGAAGTATTAATGTTGCAAAAATAATCTCTATACTAACTCATAATGTTTGATTTGACTTGGATTTTTGAACTTTATGTTAAAAATGTAACTTGCGAATTTATTTACAAGCACCGAAGGCACCGGTTTACATTAGGTTTGGTAATATCCAGGTAGTAAACCTGCCTGGTTTTATATGTGGAAGAAAATCGAGTTTGTTCATATCAGCATTGATGATGCCTCAATTTCAGCCCACTGTTGAATCAATTTGGTACCAATATTTTGGAGGGTTTTATCAAACTAAACAAACTGAGTAGTGATATTTCATATAAAATTACCATGAGAACAAGTGACTGCAGCTGAACTTTTCCTGGCAGAGTGGGAAATTGGGTTATAAGAGGATAGTTAACTGCAAACTCTTTGTGTCAGAAATGCCTTTGTGTTAGGTATTTGGATGGTAGCCTAGCAAAGTACTGGTCCTGGACACTGCTGGTAACTTCTAAGATATTGTGGTTTCACAAATAATCATAATTATGTTTCAGATGGTAAGTAAAATGCATGTAAGCTCGTTAATTAAGAACTGTAAAGCTAACGTCCAAACAGTTTTGCAAACAAACAGGATTCAGTGGGTAGAAATTGGGTGGAAAAAATGTTGGTTAGTCACTAGCAACACTGAAACCAAAATACACAGATTTTAACTTGGTATTGGCTCTTTTGTGTTAGTATGAGTCATCTTAAAGCCTATGTGGTTCCATATGAAAATGTGTCTTGGGTAGCAGACCGTGATGAGCAGAGAAGGTCAACTCTATTTTATTTTAATCCCTTCTAGCCTTCAGGAAAAAGAACAATCGTTCACCGCATCCATTAAAGAAACTACTGCCAAAGTAAGTACACGTCAGTTTTTAGTTCTTCAGAGTATTTAGAGAAGCAGATAATAGCTTGCATCTTAATAGATTGTCTGTGTTTTAGAAAGTTGATTTTTTGGTGTTTCTTCTAAACAGATTTTGCATGTAAATATTTTTAAACATAGACTTCAAAAAAAACGCCCAACTTTTCTGTTTGTACAGGCCACAGAGATTATGCTTAAGGAAGCAGATGGAGGAATCTATTGTTTCTCGGCTCATGTTTACTAGTTATCAGTCGTCTTACTGGTCTCCATTTAGGAACAGACTCCTCAGCTTCTTGAAATGAAAGTGAACTCTAGTCACACGTGAATTTTTTCATTCTTAATACAGAGCATCTTACTTTCCTAGCTGACTGGTTTCATTGGTGTGAAGGAAGAGCATAAGTGAAGCATCTCT